AGGAACTAAGTGTCGCTCATTCTACTATAGAATCTGCATTCAATGTACATCTTAATTATGAAAGAATAATCATAGAAACCTATGGTTCCGAAAAACGTATGTGAAACTTTTGTCAGAAAGATTACACACTCAACATTAACCTAGACAAAAATTGTTTTGTAAATTAGCTGTATTTCACTGACTTTAGTAGTAGCATTTTCGTAAAAAGAAAAATTTTTCATCTTTCTTAGGTCAAGAGCTATTGATAGAAGAAATAAATCGCTTATATCTACGAACCACCCAATAAACGACGCTCAGACTTGCACAGAAGTCAAATTTTCAGCTTTTTGGGAGAAAACGTTTGTATCTATCTTGTATATTATGTTCCTAAACAGAAAGGGCGTAGTCTTTTACTGCACGCATTTATTCATCCATATCCAAAAAATGTGAAACAGCTGTTAGTAACTATGTTCTTATTCAACGATTGTTATCATACTAAATATTGATAGATGAATAATGTTTGTTAGTCATAGGATCGAAGCAATATTTGACTGTCCTTTTCTTCTTTACACACCACGTAAAGATCCGGTTTATTTTAGCAATAGCAACAGAGTCGAAGGGCAATATCAGCAATAAGAAACGTAATATCTTTCTTATTTCGGTTTATTTTATGTTGATATCATAAAATCAAGAATAATTAGAAGTACTATTATCATTACTTTTGAAGAAACTAAGACCGTCATTGGACGCAGCTTGAGGGATTACTACATGGCCCTAAATATTGAATTTCTAGACTCATTACGCACGCAGCTTACTGAGTTACCCTATGGCCCCAGAAACTAATTCCCAAGATCCAAAGATCGCTAATTCACATTAAAACAGACGTGTGTAATGTAGAGAGACGTCCACGATTTAGGAATGGAAAGATGAGATCATGCGGCGTGATATATACCATTTTAACTGTGGTGTTGTAGTTAATTATATGGAGATTAATTTTCGGAGCAAGTATGTGTCACCGTATTTCATTGGTTGAGGATGTTGAGAAGGATTTGACGGTTGGATTTAGTGCCAAGAACATTCATGTACGACAATGCGTGTACTGTTTATGTGTATTTCAAGAAATGTTTTGCAGTGAATCAAAGAAACACGGTATTGAAAGTTTATCAGCAGCTTCGACATGTACATCTATCGTATGCATCAGAAAAACCATACACGTGAGATGTGTAAAACTAATCGAAACATTCTGCTCAACCGTAGATTTAACGATGTGAATACTCAAGTGTGTGAAGAACGAAATCGGTGGTTGAAGGAATATGTGACAGCTTTAATATCGTATGCTGGTGAAAGGTCAAAGTACTTCTATTTATTTTTGTTTCATTTGGCAAACTGCGAACGCATCCAAGTTAGTCCTAGTGATACGGTATCACTGATACCGTATATGCTATTTAGTGATTTTTGTGCAAATAACCGCGACTATAGCAAAAAGAGATACTTTCAATCAGTGAATATGTCTTTGTTTGCTTTGATTTTATATTCTTTTCTGATCAATTCTGATATTCTCTAACGTGACTTTTAACCATTGAACCAAATTATGCTTCTCCCATCAATTGAAATAAAATGAACATTTTGAGCAAAGTATTGTAACTACTGGTAAACTAGTTTTTTCAAAACATGCATAAATTTAGATAGAAAAACAGAAGTTTCTTTTTTCTTTGTTCCTGGCTTTACTTTCATAAGCGCATAGCAGGTTTTAGATAAGTAAAACAATATGGCGAATACATGTGCAACACAGACGCCAACGTCTGACTGATCAAATGATATAAAGACCACTTTTACTGGAGAGGTCACTCAATTATAAGCCAGAGCGCTGTATGACAACGAATTTCTTACGATTTCTGTGTATTGTAGCCAGGTGATACCACTGATTTTTATAAGTTTTCCGATGGAGAACTGTTGGAAACGATATATGAGTGGGAGCGATGTCAAGCGAATCGTCAAAAGACCATCGATATTCGAAGAAAAAAGGTGGGTTATTTAATGGTATCTTTAAGCACTATGAGAAACAAAATTATAGATAGAAAAACGATGCTAAGTTAATGGAATTTTATCCAGTAACTGCCATATTTGCATCGGTTCTTAATCAACAATTGATAGAATTTGATGAGGATACTGAGAGTCTCAATGCTTCTACTCGCTTTTCCAGTGAGCTATGTGTTCCTGGTATTATAGTTACTGCTCACAGCGCAGTGACTGACATTGGAAATAATGATCACGCTGGCGATGATAGTGGTATCGGTAAGTGTGAGATGATTAATTGTTGTTTCCTATTACTTTTGTGCCAACTTAGCCCTTCACAATAACCTATTAACGTTGATAAATACCCATAAAGATTCTGATGACCACAATAACTTTTTGGGCAATGAGGTAAGTAGGTACAGTCTGGTTTTTAATTGTGTAGAAATATGCAGTTTTATTTTGTTCAAGATCATATGAAAAGACGTTTGTCCATGCCCAGTAGTGTCGACTTGCGAAACCCGAAACGTCAATGCATTGAAAAAGCGAGATCGCTGCTGATTTTTCTTTCTCGTACAAAACAGTTTTTTTCGTTAGGTCGACTAATGATTTCCAGTTCTGTCACCTAGCAGAGTACGATTTACGTCCTGGCAGTGACATGCTACTGCTTTAAATCGGTGTGAATCAATTTATTTGGAATACCATGGCTTCAGTGATATTGCTGATACAATTGAAGATGAGACTTACTGAAAATTATTCATATTAAAATGGTAGACTGCCTTATATCTCCCAACTTCTTTCTTATCCGTTTCTGGTTGGTAGAGTCTTGTTCTCTTTGACTTCGAAAATAAATGGCGTGTTGTAGCAAAAATGCATAGTAGTGATGTCAAGAAGCTTCTCATTACATCGGCTACGACACGTTTATGAAACATACTAAGGGAAGATCATAGTTTGTCAATATTTGTAGATAGATCGCTAAATCATAATTCTTCTATATGTCTGGGATGGAAATGAATAATGGGGCTGAATAAAAAGTATTTGAGTGAAGCTTTTCTAATTAATATATATCGAAGCTTTCGTTTGTACTATATGAATAATGTTTTTCATAATATTTACATGAGAAACCAGTACATAAGATACACGTAATGCAGACTTCAAGTGAAATTTCGTTTTGTCTTTATTATACATGTTCTTGTTCAGCGCATCGAGCTGATCACGAATATCACCTTCCCGGTCTCAGAAGACCTTTGTTCGCCGAGAAAACCTTGAAATACTGAGAAACATCGAAAAAGGTCGATTTTTCTCATTTTCCAAAAAAACGTCGCCATTTCGTCAGGTCTTGTCTTAGAGACACGAGCTTCATCTCATTCGATTCCTCATTAAAAGCTAGTCTTGGCCAAGCAACTTTAAAGTCTCCAAATCCAAAACTGAAAGTTTAGCCAGGGATCGAAGTTTGGGGTCGAAATTCGAGATCCTCCGATCAAAAACCCTACTCGTCTCTGGGCTTAAGAGCCAGACACTTGCGTCATACGCCAAAAGATGCGCCTTCAAACGAGGCACAAACTAATGTCGAGCTTTTCTTTGAATTCACTTTCCCTGTGGAGAAAAATGCATTTTACTGAAAACGAATGAAAAACGTCGATGTCGTTTTTCAGTAACTTTCGTGTTCTTGACTCAAACTTCGTTTTACACTTTCCTATAATATACCGTTGGATAGTCCTTGGAATTCTCTACAAATTGAACTAGTCAGCATGTCTCGACTGGTCGGGCCAGTCACCAAAGACATACAAAAGAAGCGTTGGAGTACGAAAAACACGTGCAGTACACTCCTACAGTCACTTTTTCTGTCATGATGAAAAATTATATATTTTGCAAAAGGATACCATTGGATAGCCCGTGAAATTCTCTACAAAGTGAGCTAGTCAGAACATCTAGACTGCTGGGGTCAATCATTAAAGATATGCAAAAGAAGCGTTTGGATGTTATATATACAGCACAGTGTGTCATAATCGTATGAACTCCTTTCTTTTTGGTTTTCAAGGCAAAGCTGGAGCAAATCTGAACACTGTTTTGAATAGCCTGGAGATTTTTCTATCAGATGAGGTTCATATCACCATTTTATGAGAAGACTTGATAATAGGGCTTCTGGAAAACCTGACCGCCAGAAAACCAAGTCTCTGGTTTTTCGTCCCAAAATTTTGCAAACCATATAGCCTGATAGAGCAAAGGATTCTGAACAAATGAGGATATCTGCTAACCTTTCGTCCCCTGACCACTGACCTCTGATGTTAGACTCTTGTTGCTCCCAGGGAAAGACGAGAAGGCGCAATGTACTCACCTGTTTTGTTAGAATGATGCCACTTGATAATGAATATATTTTAGAAAACAGTAATAAAAAACACAAAGAAACGAAGACTATAAAACGATGAAGAAGAAATGAAGAATACGATCAAAGATACAATACTAATCACGGCTAACTCCTGACTACTTTTAACTGCTCCTCCGAATGAATAATAGAAGAGAAACTTTACGCTTGAATATATATTATATCGAAAAGAAAATCATAGAAAGAGACGATCAAACAAAGAAAAGAAGGAGACCTAGAATAAGATAAAAATAACCAGAGATAAGGACCGGTCAATGATAACAAATATAGGTAAGGAGAGAAAGAAGTAGACTATGGACTGTAAACTATATTACGACCTCAAAAGAGAAAGGAAAAACAAAACACGTGAGTAAAACTATGTACTAAAACATGCGCTGGACTACTGCGCTAAGTGTATAACTCTATACTTGACACCCTTCCCTTACCAGAAGGATGTAACATCCATCCGAGGAGGAGGTTTTGACAAGGAAAGTCAGACAAGAGATAAACACGAAATACGAAGGAAAACCTGTTAGTGTGTAAAAAAACTTTTCCTAAAGCTATTTCTCTTGTTACTCGCTAATCGTTGACCGGGACACTTGTAGTTGTTTCCGTGTCAATAAATAATCATTAATGCTAAATTTCATTGATGTTGTCTAGATGGTGAATGACGTTGAATTGCTGGTCGACCATATAATCGAATGTGATAGCCCAATGTAAATAAGTTGTGGTGCAATCGTAATTCAAATTCATTTCGTTGTGCTTCTGCCCACAATCCGATTCGAAGAAATTGACGATTGACTATCATGACCTTCCTAAATCTCAATCCCAGTCCTCTGAGGATATTCTTCGCCTGATGAATATCAAATTGGAAGTAGATTGGACGAATGATCTCGATATCATAATCTTTTTTATGAAATTTCTTGGAAGATTTCTGATTATGTATGGCACGAGAATGGGCTGATGTACGAGATTTTCTTGTTATCGGTTGATCAGAAGGAGACGGTAAAACTTCTGTTTGATGTTCTTGTATGGTTGCTGTTGCTGATGAAAAAACCGTGTGGCCGCCTACACGGTCCACAAGCGGCACTTCCGTGTCATTTGAACATAATAATAAAAGTGCACTTATTGCTGTTGATTGAGATGTTTCTGAAGCAATTGAATTTTCTAAAACTGAAATTGTATGAGGATCTGATGGTGCCAGTATGGAACTATTGTCCGTATGTTGAGCTGGCTCTAATTGTTGTTGTGATACTAAGTCTGGCGATGGAAATGTTGGTAATTTTGCTGGTGTTTTTGGCTGATCAGAATGTAAAAGATTATCAAATTCAAACGTTCTTAAAGTTGGATCAATGCCAGCTGCCTAGTTTGTGCATGTGTGATACTTGTCAAGAAACAAACCATATCGAAACCATAAGGCCTTTTGTAGCGACCAGCTATTTGGCTGTCTTGGGTCTTTGTATGGACGATGAGGACATGTGCAATCTGGATGGTCGTCCGATTCCATATCATAGGGTGCAGCGGTCGTTAACAAACAACCATCTTCCGCTTCCTATCGGGCTTGACAATTATGATCATGGGGATGATTGGCGTTGTACATTCTTCTAAATATTTGTTGTACATTCTCTGCATACGTGATATCTGATGATTTAAATAATCCAAATTCGCCGAATTTCATCAGTTCGTCATCCAGTTCTCCCCACCCATAAAATAAATTAGCAGGCTGGAATATCATTGAACACAATTCCTGAATTCGTTGGCGTCGTGTCGAACCTCTTGGCGGCAAGAATTGAGTTTCTATCAAAATAATAACTAATGCCGATGATGCTCTTATTTCGTGTGGAATGAGAAGAAGCTGGATTAAAGCTGGTGCTTGTGTGTCAATGTCTGTTTCGGTATCTATAACATAATACTTGGTTTTTTTGACAATACCATCAAATCATCAATAAATCTATGTGGTGTTGCATCATTAAGGTAATATCTCACTGGCTGCTTTGTAAATGATGGTACTCTTCGTGGCAACTGTTGTACACTGTCCGTCTGGCCGACTACTCGGTCCACAACGGGTAGTTTAAATTTAGGTAACATCCTACGAAGTCGTTCATTCTCTTCCAGTTTTCTCTTTGAGAAATGTTTGGTTCTAATTCTGAACAACATCTAAATGTAGTAAAGAAAATGAAGTTGGGACAGATCGTCAGGCCCCTAAAACCGCTTGAAATTGCGCAGAACGTCTTCGCCCAAATGACCGCTCAGTGTCTCTTGTATTACGTTATTATATCTATAATTCAAAATCTGGTATCAAAATAAAGGTGAGAGATGCTGATGTCTTATGATTCTAATGTGAGCCTTACCAATAAGGTAACGTTTGCCGTATGTGAAGAAAACATTCACGCTTGGCCTTTCAGAGAATGCGTATCCAAAAATACTAGACGCTAATATCAGTTCGTTGCTAGAGCCAATCTAGCATCCTGTGAATGAGGCGGAATGGCTTAGCCCCAATCCTCTGTGTGTCAAACAGGACCGAACTGATACTCGCTACATCCTGAAAGTCACCAACGACAAAGCGATCTTACACCGAGGATACTCACGATTGCGATGACATCAACCTTTGATGCTTTTCTCACTTTAGTGCATTTTTATTTTGAGACCTTGCGAATTTAATATATTTAACGAGGTTGTATATAATAGAACTCCCTAGATTTCACACATTTTATGAACAAGAGCACCCCGTTTTGGTATTCAAAATAGTTAAACAAAACGATTTCAACTTTGTGACAACAAAAGTGGAAAAAAGGATTTGTTTCCATGCTCTTTCGTTCGTTGAAATTGCTGTGTACTTACTTTGTATATTACTTATTTTTTGAAAAAAGTGAAAAAAAAACAGATATAAACTGTAAAAAATTCGAGTTTTGTTCGTTAAATCGAGTAATAGTCTGCACACTACGTTAAGAAAATATGAAGTGTCTTGTACATAACGGACACTGACTTTTCAATTAAACAATAACTAAAACGCATAATAACAAATACATCAGTTACAACTAAAGTTGAAGAGTGAACAAGAGCAGAAATAGGTGTCGGTGCACTTAAAGCTGATAAAAGTCAAAATCTAAAAGGAAACTGAGCACTTTTAACACAAGCCCCTCAAATTAATAACCCCAAACATAAATAAGGAAAAAATCTCAAATTTCTAATCAAATAATAATTCATATAAACTAAAGTAATAATAAATAAAAAATCACCCCAACGATTTTGAAATAATGTAAATATTCTATTAGTTAACCTAATAAAATTAGAATAATAAATTAAATAAAAAGAAACAACACCGGAACCGTCCCATCCCAGTATTAACCAATAAAAACTATTACTATAAATTAAAAACTGCATTCTAAAAACAAATAAAAGATATAAAACAACAAAAACAGTAAATATATCTTTCATATACATATAACATAAAACAATAACTACTGTGCTAACTATTCAAACTAACAAAAAAGATCTAAGTCTTCATAAATCTAGTAAAAACTCTATATCAAGACCAAATAAAACACCAACTTTTAAATTAAAAACTGAAACAAAACTAATAACTATTAAAAGACACAAAAATAAAATTCCAATTAAAAAAGATATTACTCCCCCTACATATAAAAATGTCATTTTTCGAACAATTTATTGTATGTGTTCTTCTCCTGGTCCAGGACGTTGTACGGCGCAAAGATCTCGTTGGGACCCCCTCCATTTTTTGGATCCGGTGGCTCCGTTGGAGGTTTCACGGTATATTACGCTATATTCAGCTGTAGACATCAAACACACTGCGTTCACTTTT